AAGGGAAGCGCGTTAAGTACTAGAGACACTAGCGGCAATAGAACGTATCTAGAAAATGCGAGAAATCTATACTAAGATAGCTAAGAAGCTAACAAGGGCTTAAGAGTACTAAAAGACCTACTACGATAAGCGCTATACACTAATAACCTTTAAACAAGGCGATATAGTTATACTAAGCACGAAGAACCTCCGTATCCGCAAGCATCTATTACCCGATAGTAAAACAAGGCCTAAGCTCGCACTAAGATACATTAGTCTATTCCGTATCCGAGAGGCTAAGGGTATACAGGCCTATTAGTTGTAGCTTCTACCTTATTACACTATCTATAATACCTTCTATATATCCCTCCTTAAGCCGTACTACCTACGCGAAGGGGATGAAGCCCCTATAGAACACGAAGATATACTAGTAGATAGTAAAGAGCTGTAGTCTATAGAACGTATCCTATAGTATCGGACTAGGCAAGGCAAGAAGGAGTACTTGTTAAGATAGCAAGGCTATTTACCTAAATAGGACTCGTAGGAAGCTAAAGGTTCTTTTAAAGATATAACTAAGTTGTTAGATAAGTATTAGACTAGCGTAAAGAACAAGAAGAAGGCTAAGGGCCTATAATGTCGCCTAGGAACAATACTACCCCCGGGGTGCTATTAGCTAACTAATTAGAGGCCGGCAAACTAGGACAATAAGACTATACTACTATAGTGAACGCGTACCGAGTGTTAATAAGCGCGCTATAACGCGTTAACTATCCGCTGCTCTTTTAGGAAATTACCTCTCTACTAACGCGCCCTATAGGTCCCCCTCTTGTTCCCTTATTCTATCGGGGCCTCGAGGCCTAGGCAATCGGCGAAGACGGCGCGGCCGGCGCGGCTATGTTAGTAACGGTGTTACGGGGTGTATTGTTAGTTAAAGAAGAAGATTAGAAGCGAGGTAAAGTTAGCGCTAAGACGACTAGCGCCGCTATTGTTAATATTACTTGCTATTGTCGCTACGCCTATAGACACAACCTTACCTGCACTACGAGCCTAAGGCACCTTTAATCAAAACTTTAATCAAAAGCTTTAAGCCTGTTAAAGGTTTAATTAAAACTTTAAGGCTAAGTTAAACTTTAACTAAGTTAAAAGATTAAGCGACTAATAGACTGACTAAGGGCAAAACTATAGAGCTAAGCTAGCCGGGGTCGATCTTGCGGACAATAGGTTACTCCTCGATCTATCTAACCCTTTAAGCGAGGCGAACCTCTACTACTGCACTTATAATAGCCTTTACCTATAGAAACTAGAAGAACTAAGTTTTTTGAAAAGATATAATTAGTTGACACTTGAAGGCTGCTAAACCTAACTAATTTAGGCTAGTAAAACTACGATAGTAAATAATAGCCCTCGTAATAATAAGAACAATCCCTCGGAACGGACAACCCTCGGAAGCGGACATTGCTAGGTCTTTTAAGAGTAGACGCAAAGAACTCGGTACGACATTACGCAGAGCGGAGGCAGGGCTATAATACCTCGTACGTCTACCTATTATAGTAGGGAAGACGCGCTCGTATTGTAATTAGTCGAAGGCCCTCAATTCTTATAGATATATATCACTTTATAGTTTATTGTATATAGAGATAGCGTAGTTAGAGTTGTATATTGTATTGTTTGGAGGTGAGGTTTGACATAGTTACATAATTAGGTAGTTAAGTGTTCAATTTAGCGCGGGCTAAGTAGCTTATTAGACTTGCTAAGTTAGTAGCAATAGAGGTTGAGACTAGAACAAAGACCGGCTACGAGGGCGCGGCCTTTAGAAGGGAAGCGTGTATTAGGACCAAAGAGGTTACACGTGATTGGCATATAGCCGGGCTTGAGTAAAGCTAGGGTCTCGATACCTTAGGTAGGACTTAGCGCTTAGCGTTAGGCTAACTAGCCTGCCTTCCTCCCTCTCCTCTTAGATCTCTATCGAATACTATACTAATTTACTACCACCCTATCTACCTGCTAACATAACCCTTCTTACATAACCTAAGACACTAGCGGCTATTAAGAGGGTTTAAAAGATGCGAGAAATTTACGCTAAGATAGCTAACAAACTAGCAAAGGCCTAGGCCTATTAGAAGGCCTACTATAATAAACACTACCTTCTAATAACCTTTAAGCAAGGCGACCTAGTTATGCTTAGTACGAAGAACCTCCGTATCCGTAAATACCCCTCGCCTAATATTAAAACAAGGCCTAAACTCGCACTAAGGTATATTAGCCCTTTCTATATCCGAGAACCTAGGGGCACCTAGGCCTATTAGTTATAGCTTCTACCTTATTACACTATCTATAACACCTTCTATATATCCCTCCTTAAGCCGTACTACCTACGCGAAGGGGATAAAGCACCTGCTAAATCCTAGGACATACTAGCTAATAGTAAAGAACTGTAGTCTATAGAACGTATCCTAAAGCACCGGACTAGACAAGGCAAGAAGGAGTACCTATTAAGGTAGTAAGGCTATTCGCCTAAATAGGACTCGTAGGAAGCTAAAGGTTCTTTTAAAGATATAACTAAGTTGTTAGATAAGTATTAGACTAGTGTAAAGAATAAGAAGAAGGCTAAGGGCCTATAATGCCGCCTAGAGACAATGCTACCCCCGGGGTACTATTAGCTAACTAATTAGAGGCCGGTAAACTAGGATAATAAGACTATACTAGGCGCGCTACGACGCGTTAATTAATTAATCGCATGCTCTTTTAAGGGCTCTACCTCTTTACTAATGCGCCCTATAAGGCCCTTCTCCTAGTATTTAGGTCCCCCTCTTAATCCTTTATTCTATTAAGGCCTCGAGGCCTAAGCGATCGGCGAGGACGGCGTCGCGCTTATAACGGCGCGGCCGGCGCGGCTATATTAGTAATAGTGTTGCGGAGTGTATTGCTATTTAAGAGAGGAAGGATACGGCTATATTAGTAACGGTGTTGCCGAGTTGTTATTAGTTAAAGAAGGAAATTAGAAGAAGGTAAAGTTAGCGCTAAGACGACTAGCGCCGCTATTATTAATATTACCTACTCGCTAATATTGCTAACCTTACCTATTATCGCTACTATACTTACGAAGACAACCTTACCTATACTACGGCCTAAGGCTAGAGGCGCGCTATACTAATTAAGTTAAAAGAATAGCTATATTAAAGGTTTAATTAAAACTTTAATTAAAACTTTAAGGCTAAGTTAAAATATTAAGGCTTAAAAGGATTAAGTAGCTTAACGGACTAACTAACTAAGGGCAAAACTATAGAGCTAAGCTAGCCGGGGTCGATCTTGCGGACAATAGGTTACTCCTCGATCTATCTAACCCTTTAAGCGAGGCGAACCTCTACTACTATACTTATAATAGCCTTTACCTATAGAAACTAGAAGAACTAAGTTTTTTGAAAAGATATAATTAGTTAACACTTAAAGGCTACTAAACCTAACTAATTAGGGCTAGTAAAACTACGATAGTAAATAATAGCCCTCGTAATAATAAGAACAACCCTCGGAACGGACAAACCCTCGGAAGCGGATATTGCTAGGTCTTTTAAGAGTAGACGCAAAGAACTCGGTACGATATTACTTAGAGCGGAGGCAGGGCTGCAATACCTCGTACGTCTACCTATTATAGTAGGGAAGACGCGCTCGTATTGTAATTAGTCGAAGGCCCTTAATTCTTATAGATATATATTACTTTATAGTTTATTATATATAGGGATAGCGTAGTTAGAGTTAGACATTGTACTATATAGGAGGTAAGGTTTAATATAGTTGTATAATCGGTAGTTATGCGTTTAATTTAGCGCGGACTAAGCGGCTTATTAGACCTACTAAGTTAGTAGTAATAGAGGTTAAGACTAGAATAAAGACCGGCTACGAGGGCGCGGCCTTTAGAAGGGAAGCGTATATTAGGACTAAAGAGGTTATACGTAATTGGTATATAACCGGGCTCGAGTAAAGCTAGGGTCTTAATACCTTAGGCAGGGCTTAGCGCTTAGTAATAGGCTAACTTGCCTACCTTCCTCCCTCTCCTCCTAGCTCCTTATCGAATACTACTTGTACCTACTACTACCCTATCTACCTACTAATATACCCTTCTTATATCTTACTATTAAAAACTCGCTATAGTCTAGTAAATAACTATTTCTTTTCGAGTATAAGAGATTAGATTAGATAGATATATCGGTAGAGAGCGGATAGGTCTATATATATTTAGTAAGTAGTAATAATAATATAGACCTAGGACCGAGTACTAGGAAAGTAGTATAGAGTAAGTAAGCTAAATATAACCTCTCTATAATTAGTATCTAAAATTTACCTAAATAATAGAGTATTAGCGTTAACTTTCCTAATAATACTTTTAAATCTTCTAGAATACTATAGCTACTTATAACTACCGAAATGTCTCTACTAGCTCGAGAACTTAAAGATAAATATATATAGGCCTTCTTTTTAGACTTAGAGGGGGATTTTCGAGCTAACTAACTAACTAACCGTATATACGATATTCTTTAGGCTCCTATAGTATTAGCTAGTAGCCGGCTCTATACCCTTACTAGGTAGCTAGATACTAAGCCTATAAAAGAGGCCTTCTTTTATAGAATAGATAGATTATTAACCTTGTATAGTATACTATTTCTATTATACGCTAATAGTGCCTATATTATAGGGCTCTAATTACTATAGCCTAAACGACGAGTTTACTATCCTATCTTGCTAAGCATAGCTGCCTACATAGCGGTAGGTTATGTTACCTTCGGAAGCTTATACTATTGCTACTAGTAGTGGCAGTAGTGTTGGTTTCCGTCCTTTAATAGTAAGGGTGAAAAGAAGAGGAAGTTTCACGCTAGCCCACGACACGACACATCTGTAAGTATGTTCGGCGCCACGACCCAGCGGAGACAAAAGTATACCTCGTGATCGTAATGCTGCGTTGGCCATCTGCGTTATTCCTCAGACAGTCTTGACATAACAAGCGAAGAAAAAGAAGAAGAAGAAAGCAAAAGGCAAAGTCTCTACTGTCAAAAATGCATCATCGCTCAAATCTAGAAGAATTTATCACTCTACCCGTCGCCATCTCCGCCATCCTTCTCTCCACTCAGCCATCATCTCGCGCTGACCACCAAACCACCATCTCCGCGACCTCCGAGGCTCCTCCCATACCACCACCTCCTCCTCCTGCTGCTGCCCTCGAAGCGTCTTCATGGAACTACGAGCAGGGTGGTCAACATCAAGCAAGAGTGTGAGACGCGAGCATATTTCAATGATAGGAGCGAATGACAGCAGAAGAAAGCTTACAACTCCTTCTTCAAGAAATGCTCGGGCGAATGCGTAGTTTCGAAATCAACATGAACGTAAGCTCGCTCGACGTCGGGCAGACTCTCGAGTTTCATTTGCAGGTCCTCGGCGACATCGTGGGTTTCGCGAAGACTGAGGTCTGGGTCCATGACGATATCGACCTCGACGATGATGCGTGGTCCGGAGTGCCATGCGCGGACCGTATCGAGCTGGATGACGCGCGGGTCGTGGGTCATAGACACGTAGGTGACGTGGTTGAGGAAGGAAGTTTCGGCAGAGACGCCGATCAGTAACTGAAACTCCTGGTATGCAGTTCGGAGCCAGAGGAAGGAGATGAGGAGAGAGAGGGCGATGGCTCCGATGGGATCGATGAACCACCTCGATGATGCATCAGCATCCGTGGAATTCTGTGTCGATGCTGATTGATGAATACTCACTTGATCTTGCTGCCAAGAATACTGGTCATAAGACCGAAGCCGTTGATGAAAAGGTCGTTGCGATGATCTTCCCACAGAATGCGGACCTGGCTGTACTTGTTCCTCAAAGCCCAGCAGTAGAGAAAAAGGCCCAATTTCGTCGCGAACGCAATGCCAACCGCAACGACGGAGGGGATGTGAAACTTGGCATCGTCTGACTTCTCAGCCAGCTGCCGAATCGACTCGACGATCAGAATCAACGACACCGCCGTCATGAGAAAGCAGAAGGCAATATTGCCCGCCGTCTCCAGGCGCTGCTTCCCAGACGGAAATTTTCGCGGGTCCACCTTGTTCACGGCTCGATTGCAGAGGATCAGCGTGAGATTACTCATGGGGTCGAAAATGCTGTCGGCCATGGTGGTGAACAGCGACAAACTGCCCGAAGACACGGCGCCGTAGACCTGCAAGATGGCCAAGATGATATTCGCAGCGAAACTTCCCTGCACGGCAATCTTGAACTGCAACGCCTCCGCGCCTTGTTCGTCTTTCGCCTGCTGGACATGGTCGGCGACGGGTTTGAGGAGGCGCTCGATGTTCTCGTTCTGGTTTTGGTAGAATTTGATGAGTTTGTGCGAGCGGATCTTGTCTTTGCCTTTGCCGACGGGGTTGCAGGCGCGCTTGGCTTTGGTATTGGCTTTCGCCTTGGCTTTCTCGTCATCGATGTCTTTTAATCCACTGCGCAGGCTGTATGGGTCGTGTTCGGCGCGGTACTCGGGTAGGGTGGCTTGGCGCTCGACATCATCACGTTCGCTGTCACTACTGTTGCGGTGGTATGCTGGGCGAGAGACGGGTTCGGTGACTTTCGGGGTGTCTTTGTCGACGGCCGAACTGGTGCCTGGTCGGTGATGGTCATGCTGGGTAGTCGGGAGCGGTTGATGGCGGGCAGGCTCGGGGGTGTGGTCTCGCGATACGCGTTCTGAGTGGAGGTGAAGTGGATGCGGTCGCAGGGAGATGGAATTGTGCAGGTCTGCGTCTCGTCGCGACATGTTGGTCGAGGATGTGGCTGTCGCAGTCGGTGGTCGATCGGGTGATGGCTATGAATCAGCAATATCGATGGGTCGCTGTCACAAGACAGGGTGGTGTGAATGATGTGAATGATGTGATGCAAAATGGTATTTTCGCAGCAGAAGTAAACGATGCCTCCTTCTTGCTGGTGCCTACCTGCCAAGAAGCGGTGCGGCGCAGAAAGAGCAGGTATCGTGCTCATCCGGCCGTGAGGATTGCGTCGCGAATCAGAATCATTCGAGGTTGATCGTCGGCGAGCCAAGACGCCGACGCTTGCGCCATTTCCACCCGTCTCCGCGAGACTCATCTTCCTCACAAACATCGGTATAATCGAGATGATATGGCCGGACGACGTGAGGCAGGTGTAAGAGTAGTTCTAATAAACATGCCCACCAAGGTGCACTCCCGTCCTCGCGGCACTCGTTCGCTAACCAATAGGAGCCCCCTACCATCATATCCTGACCCGTTCTCTTTTCCTTGCCGATCTTATCATCAATGCACTGCTCTCCATCGAAACCTGTCCGGCCGGTATAGCGGGGATGGCGTCGACATCATGCAAGTGCCTCCTCTACTCTACAGACCAGGCCATCCGTCGGACAACTGGACCATACTCCGACACATCCACCTCCTCCTGGCGACCTTCATCACGACCTTGTATCCGACGGCCTTGTTGCCGGCTCATGAATGACTGGTCGCTATTGGGCCATGCTCCCGGCTGTCCATGTGTACATCCAGCCTTTCCCATCTTGTGATGACCACCCCCGATAACACGCGAGGCGAATTGTCCTTATTGCGAAGGACATACAACAGCTTGAGCATGGATCGCAGTGTCGAGTCTGCCGATATTGCCCGCAGGAGGTAATGTAGCATGAACTGCTCGCAGCTTCCACCTCTTTCATTCTTCGTGCCAGAGAGTCCAGACGCCTTCGCTCTCTCGTCGTTGAGAACGGGACTTGCCAAGTCGGGCTCTCTTCTGGATCTGACTGATGCGAAGCTTTGGGTGCCGCTGTGTGAGTTCAGTGTTCATACGTGGACTGAGCTGGCTGACAGGAGTGATGCGCAGTGGGTTTCTATTGAAGAGACGAAGCCTTTTTCCGAGATGGCGAGGAAGAGTTTGAGGTTATGAAGAGCGTATCGGAAATGTAGTGATCAGCGGGCTCTGGCGTTGGAGAATGGAGATACAGCACGCTTAATCGAAAGTTCCTGCTCTTTTTGAAGACTTCAATGCCTGAGCGACTGCTTTTCAGTATCATACCTATCTATCTATCCTAGCTGCAACGCCCAGGCCAGGGTCTCGGCGGCCATTCAGGTTGCCAAGCCAAGACTAACCTCACGCTTGGAACCCAAGTCTTCTCATGCGTAGATTTGGTAAACCACAACATCTTCACACCCTTTTCTCTTGACACCGAGGCTCTCCATCAGCATCTGCTTACTCCCCAATGCCTTCCTCTCGTCTGCCGAAATTTCCTCGTCCGTGCAAGCTGACCGAGGTGGGGTAGCTGACGCGGGGATGAGTGAGTTGAGAGTCAGTCGTCTTCGATTGCTACTATATTAACTGGAGCTGACCTGACCAGAACAGCAAGCACATCATCCCTCAAATCAACGAGAGACTACACACGATTGAAAATTTCTCTCAACACAATGAAAGCCGCACAATTCTACAACAACCATGACATCCGAATCGAAGATGTCCCCGAACCAATCCCAGGCGAAGGACAAGTCGTCGTAGACGTAGAATGGTGTGGTAAGTATCCACGAACCCTCCCTTCTTTTCCCCTTCCTCAAACCCTTCCTCTCAAAGAAAACTCACATCCTCATCCTTCACAGGTATCTGCGGGTAAACAATCCCCTCCCCTCCTCCCTCCCCCTTTTCTACCTCCACCACCACCACTCACACCGCCAGCTCCGACCTCCACGAATACCTCCTCGGCCCCCTAACCACCACCACCACCCCAACAACCCTCGGCCACGAACTCTGCGGCCGCGTCCGGAACCCCCCCTCCACCTCCAAATTCCACGACGGCGATCCGGTCATCATCGACCCCAGAATTCTCTGCAAAACCTGCCCCGCGTGCAAATCCGGCTCGACCGCCGCATGCTACAATCTCGGGTACATCGGCGGCGGCGGGGGCACGAGATTCGGGGGGTTTGGGGAGAAGGTGGTGGTTGAGGAGGAAAGTGTGCACAAGCTGCCGGAGCAGATCGGATTGGAGGATGCGGCGGTACTGGAGCCGTTGGTGATAGTGAATCACGCGGTGAAAGTTTCGGGGGTGAAGAGAGGGGAGTGGGGAGAGAAGAGTGTTTTGGTTGTAGGTGGGGGACCGATTGGGTTTGGGGTGCTGTTGATTTTACGCGCGATGGGGGCGGGGAAGGTTTTTGTGAGTGAGCCGGCTGAGATGAGGAGGAGGCAGGTTCGAGAATTCTGTGGTGAGGAGGGGGTGATCAATCCTTTGGAAGAAGACGTCGCGACGAGAGTGAAAGAGCAGACGGTGGAGAAACGGGGGGTGGATGTAGTTTTTGATTGTGCGGGAGTGAAGGCGGGGTTGGATAGTGCGATGGAGGCGTTGAGGTTTGAGGGGCTTTATGTGATGGTTGCGGGGTGGGAGACGCCGATGACGGTTCCGTGTTTCACGTTTTTGCATAAGCATATCACCATGAAGGGGAGTTTGATTTTTGGGGATGGGGATTTGGAGGAGGTTATGGAGATGATTGTGAAGGGGGAGTTGAAAGGGTATGAGAAGATGATTACCGGACGGATCGCTCTGGAGGAGATTGTTGAGAAGGGGTTTAGGGAGTTGATTGAGAATAAGGATGAGCATGTTAAGATTCTGGTGAGGCCGAGGTAGGGTGGTTGTGGGATGATGTTGTTTGGTTCAGTCGATGAAGTTGATAGATGGTGTGTGAAGGTTAGAAAGCTCGATGTGAATTGTGAAAGAAGAGTTTTATGAATGATTTCCTTTTCCCTTCCACTACATAAACTCCATTATACATATAATCCAACACCAACGCTGTTCGACAAAGGAGACTAGTAGTACAAGTGTGGTCAGGTGGTATCGTATCATGCATGTTGGGCAAGTCCATCCAAAAACACATTAACATTCTGTGCCGTTCCGTTCTCCGTTCTCCGTTCTGTGAGTCGATCAAGATCTATAGCATCTACCAGCGGTTGCGCCGTTGATTGCCACCTCCAGCGCCACCAAACTGCCTCATCATGTCGGCCTTGATCTTCTCCATGGCATCCTTGTATCCAGTCTCGTAGGCGACGTCCATCTTGCGGTCGGCGGAGAAGCTTGATGCTTGCCTGGGTGATGGTGGGCTGTTGCGACGATTGTATCTGTTATTGTTGTTATAGCCACGATCATCATCATAGCCGCCACGGTTGCTGTTGTTGCCATATCCTCGATCGCTGTTGTAACCTCCACCGTACCCTCGATCATTGTTGTTGTAAGAGTTGCCTCCATACCCGCGATCACTCTCGTATCCTCTGTTGTTGTAGCCTCCGCCATAGTTGTTGCGTTGAGGACTTTCACGTCGATTCGAGTTATTGTCATGGTTGTATCCTCCGTAACCGCCGCCTCCGTAATGGCCGGAATGGCGTGGAGAATGGTTGCGCACTTCTTGGAGAGACATGTTCTGGAGCTCTCGAGTGGCGATGCGATGACCTTCATCGTAAGCGTTACGCTCATCGCCCTTGAAGTCACCTCGAGAGTCGCGATTGGAGCTGCGGTTGCGTTGTGGGCTGTTCTGGCGGTTTTGATTACCTCCATATCCTCCTCCGTTGTTCGAGCTACCATTCCAAGAATTGTTGGACTGGTGGCCACGAGCATGACTGCCTCCGTACGAGTTGTTGTTGCTGTTGCCGTATCCAGAGCCGCTGTTGTTACCGCCATTATTGCTGGATGCACCGTAATTAACATTGCTGGAAGATCCTTGGCGAGAGCTGCCGCTCTGGTGGGTGTTGCGAGACGTGCTGCGGCCACCTTGAGGGGTGCTTCGTCCGCCAACTGGGCCATCAGTACCGACACCGGTGTCTCTGGTGAAAGATCTTGTGCGCTGACTACCGTTATCGACATTGCCCAAGGTCTTGTTAATAGCGTTGGACCCGGCGTTGTTACCTCCTGACGATGAGTTAGAGGTGTTGATATTTGACGATGTGTTGCTGCCCGAATTGTTGTTGGCTGAGACGTATGACGACTGGTTGCTGGAGCCGCCGCTGCCAGTTGAGCTATACGAGGAAGTGTTCGTGCTAGTGGGAGAGCTGGACGATGTGTTGTTGTTCGATGATCCATACGAGGACGTGTTGTTGTTTGAACTATCATTGGACGAAGAGTTGAAGCTGGACGACCCCATGCCTGATGAGGTATTGTTACTTGACCCAAAGCTCGATGAGTTGTTGTTCGAGCTGCTGTTTGAGTTGTTGTTGGACGAGCCAAGGCCAGAAGAGTTCATACCGCTCGAGCCGCTGCTAGCGTTGGCGTTGGATGCATTCAGCGAAGAGTTGCCATTGCTGCTGTTGCTGTTGCCCGAGTTGTTCGGAGAGCTGAAGCTCGAAGAGTTGTTGTTGCTAGAGTTCATGCTTGAAGAGTTGTTGGAGTTCGAATTGTTATTGCTTGAGTAGTTGTTGTTCGATGACTGTGACTATGTCAGCTTCAGACCCTCATGCCATGCAGGACAGTAACATGCTAACCTTGTCGTCGTTCTTGGAGTCGCTGCGTTGATGAATGGTACTGGTCGTACTATACTCGCTATCCGAACCACTGTTACCACCCTTGTTGGACCAGCCAGAGCCGTGGGATTCGTCAGAGGAGGATCGAGTGTTGATGGAGGAATTGTCGTCCTTAAATGAAACGTTCTTGACTGTCTGCGGGGATCGGCTATCGATTCCGTCATCGGAGGATTCTTGCTTGTCGTCAACAAATGAGATGCCATTGGAGTTAAGACCTGTTTTACCAGAAGGGCGAGGCCGGCTCGCACTGCGACTATTGGATCTCATCATTCCGCTGCTGCCTTTCGAGTTCAGATTGCGGTTGTTGTTTTCGTGTCTCTCTTCGATGACACTCAGACCTGTTCCAGCAGATCTGTTGTTGTTGTTATTGTTGTTGTTCATGTTGTTCTTTTGTCCACCGGCGACGCGGTCAAAAAAGCCCATGCTAAGTGGTAGGGCTTGGTTCTTAAACTTGATGTTTCTCATTCAGGTGCACGGTGTCTCGCTGACAAGAAAGACACATCAGAATTGGGAGCTAGAATGGTTAACCCTGATCATGCCTGCGGGAAGCCCTCATATAACTCAGGCCGTCGATTCAACGCCCTCCATCATCATACCTCTACCCATCGTCATCGTACGGTTGTGGGCTGGGATGGCCACTCAGCACGAGTCGATGCCCACGATGACCCAACAGCAGCCCAAGCCGTGCGTGGTGAGCGTCGGAACAGCCAGGTTGTTTGACTCGCGTGGCCATGCGGGATACCATCATCCCGTCATCTCAAGGCCCTGTGGCTGGTGCACGACTCATGGGCGCTCTCAAAGAGGAGATGCCCTGCGTAGGCAGCTCTGCTCTCGCGAGAGGCTTAAGCACGATCATGAATCGTGCCTGCATCTGGTTGCACAGTACGCGTATCTCATGCGGCCGTTGGCTCTGGACTTGCAGGCACACTTCAGTCTGATGGGTGTTGAAACCTCTGATACACTCTGCGTCCAGCTCACCTAGAGCCATCGACATGCATGCCCATGAGTCGTGGCCACGCAGAGGATTCGGGATTGAACCCAAACCAGACTGGGGCTTGTGAAGATGCTGAAAGGCGTCGTGATGGTATGCGTCGATATGTCTCACTTGAATGTTGTTGGGACGCAGTTAATAGGGTCTGATATGGGACGTGTCTATACCGCATCAGTTGGAGTGACCGTTGAGGGAAAAGCATGGAGTCGGGCGAGCGAACTCAATGGCGTGCAGCGGTCCACGCTATGACTACGCCACAGCTGACGTCGAGATGCGATGCGATGCTTTAGGCACCTTGCGCAGTAGGTTTAAATTGGCAGTTGCGCTCCGTACACGCGGAAGTGGCTCGCGCTAGTGTACTAGTATGTGAATAAGCTCGGTGCAGTTATCCGTACGTAAAGGATTAAGTAAATAAAAGCACGGGTAACTATACGAGCTCGTATAGTTAACCGTATACGCTTATATAATCGAAAATACGCTAATTAAACCCTACGCTAGGCCGTTAATAGTTAAGTAAAGGAGTGTACTAAATCCTTAGCTAAATAGCTTAAACCCTATCTCCGCCTTCTATTAAATTCCTCTACTACTAGTATAGTACCTATTATATATAAGCTACTATATACCCCTTATCTATATATATAATAGCGGAGAGTTTAGTAAAAGGCGTATAAAGGTCGCCGGACGGCCGCTAAGGGTTATATAGGTCTAGTAGCCTATATATAATTACTTAGTTATAAAGATCTTAGAGGAAACCGATATAATTAGAACTAGGTCTATATCTTAAGAGAGGTATATATTAGGGCTTCTAAGAATATATATAGTACTCGGAGCTTAGACTTATTAGCAAATACCTCCTAATTAAATCTTCTTAGTATTATAGCCGTTCCTATTACCCTAAGACCTGCCCTACTATCTATTACTTTACTTCTTAACCTAAACTATAGCTTCTTATAGAGCGATCTATACCCTCGCTTAGGTCCTTCCTTCTATACGCTACTAGCTATAGTCCGCGACTATTATAGTTAACCTACGCTATATAGTTTAACTATATTACTCGATAGTCTAATAACCTATCGCTTAGTAGCTAATTAGGTCTATAAGGTAGATATACTAATTATTTCTATACTAGTCGAAGAGCCTATTCGGTAGCCTATCTAGTAGCCTATCTAGTAGCCTATCTAGCCGCCTATTTCTACGCCTGTTTCTACGCTAATATCTACGCTAATTAAGGAGCCTACTTCTACGCTAAATAGCACTCTAATTAATAGTTAGACCGATAGTTAAACCTTAGTTAATATAGGTCCTTTTTAAGACGACCTTATTGCCGCTACTATTACTAAGGAATATAGTAATACTCGACTTAATAGTAATAGCTATATCTCGGCGGCTAGTAAGCTTACTTTTACTAAGGTTAGCGCTACTATAGCCTATAAGCGAGTAACTAGTAAAGTGCGTAACTAGAATGCTAGCTTTAAGTCTATTATTACTACTACTTAGCTAACTAATAAGCCTCTTATTAGCGATCTAGTAAGGGCTTATCGTACTATAGTTAAGCGCCGAGTAGTTGCGAGAAGGCCTCTTAACGGAGCTTCCGGAGTTGTTATAGTAGAGACCCTTTAAGATTAGCTTCTCGATAAGGCTATAGAGATACTATTTCGACTAGATAAGATATAGCGCGAGAAGATATTAAATACGAAGGAATTAAAGGCATTTAATAGTCCTCCCGAGAATATATATAATACTATACTGTCGACACTCTCTTAGCGTAGTAGTTAGGCTCTAGCTCTAGTAGTAACGGCTCTAGTAGTAGCTCTAGTAGCGACTCTAGTAGCATTAGATCTAGCTGCTCTAATAACGCCTACTTAATAAGTAGAAGTTATCGACTTGTCGACGCTATCTGCGGTCGATAGTAATGCCGCTTAGCTTGCTAAGCGCCGTTGTTTAGACTTCGAGATTAAACGGCTCTAGCGTAGATTATAGATATAAGGAGCTGTGCTAAAGGAGGTACTATCGCCTATGTTTAATACTCTAAAAATACTCGCTAAGGGCCGTAGCTTAAAACGTAGAATTAGCTCGCTATTAGAGTTTTTAGGTATTTCTATTATTAGCGCCGTTAGCGAGGCGCTAAGTATACTAGGTCCTACTAGCCGTACGAGAGATACAAGCGACTTGTCTGCTATAATAAGCGCTATAGTAAGAGACGTTAAGCTAAAGATAGTACGTTAAATTAATACTATCTAGTCTAGTATCTAGGCTCTATAAGTAACGATAACCGCTTTGTTACTGTTAAAACCCTTATTTTTATTATAAATAGAGCTTCCTTCTAACGAAATCGTAGATAGTTAAACGGACTCGCTAGACTACGATAACGATAGTAACGGCTTTATAGACCTTAATACTATCGATAAGGACGTATTCTCGTAGATAATTTAATCGATTAGGGTTAGGGTTAGGGTTAGGGTAAGGGTTAGGATAAGGGTTAGAGTAAGGGTTAGAGTAAGGGTTAAGCTTAGTATATTGCGGTAGTTATATTCTTATTATCGAGAATATTATAATTACTTAGTCGATATCTTCTTTTATAAGTACCTATTCGAAATTATAGCTTCGTTTAGTACGAGAACGCTAAGACTCTCTATATTTAATAAAATCGTAGAGTCGGAGTTCGAACGGCGAACCTATATCGACGGCTCTAAGGGACTCGTAAAATAGAGTAAAGATTATAGTATATAGCTCGAAATAACGTAGAAAGCTGAGATTTTATCGCTTAGTAAGCGGGCCTCGATATTCTACGACTTGCTATATAATAACGTATTACTCGTTTTCGTTTGTTTTTAGATAATAAGACGCGCTATATACTAAAGAATATAGCGTACGTAAGAGTATATAAGATCGGTAAGGTTATTATTATATTAAAGTCGTAAAGTATCTCGTATAATATACTATACGCTAGTACGGGTATATCCGTATTTACTACTTTCCTATATCTTCTATTTCTATCTTCTAATTTAATCTTCTTTTATTATATTAATAATCTTAATCTCGTCCGTCTTATAGTCTAGTATAACTATCCGACTATATCTAAATAAAGCGCTACTATCGAATACCTCGTCGCCTACTTAAAAGCTTAATCCGAAGTACCTACTATAGCGTAGAAGGTCGTCGTCGCTAGTTAGAGGTATTATAGGTAAAGGGAGTAGATTAGCGAGATATTCGTATATACTTAGAGGTTTTATATAATATAGTCGACTAATCTTATTTTCGCTACGATAATAGGTAAGGCAATTAGTAAGTAATATAGTAACGATATATATCGCTCCGACTAGTATTAACTCGACTCGGAGCCTATAGAAGTATTTTATTAACTCGAAGTTATTAACAATCTCTACGAAGCCCTATTCGACTAACTAGTAGATAGTATTTATTTCCTTTATAGCTATAGCCTCGTTAGTATAAAGAAACTTGCTATTTATAGTCTTCTAGCTTCTTATAACCCTATTAGCGATATTATATACTTAACTACTATATAAGAATACCCGCTTTTCGAAGGGTTAATATAGCTATCTAGGCGGCTCGAAATACGACTTCTAAATCTTATTAAACCTACTCTCTAGCATTAACGTTATATCGCCGTAGGAGCTAGGTACTAGACTATATAGCAATATTATACTATTCGGAAGGACAATGCCTTAGTATTTAAGTCTATAGAAGTGCTTATATCTATTATAGAACGGCCGCTAGTTATAGGTCGGCCTATAGTACTTCTATAGGGTACTATCGATATATCCGAAGATATACTCTATATCGATTAATCTAGTAACCGTAATAGCTATTCGCCGTAGGTAGGCTTTACTTAACTAGTTAAAGTCCTATCCTAATCGCTCTTTCTAACGCCTTACTAGTTAAGTATACGCAGCATTAAATATACGACTAATCTAGCTATTACTACGACTAAATATCTAGCTTAGGTTGCGTTAATAACCCGGATTACTAAGCCTTCCGCAAACGATATATAGTACTATTACTAGATCGTAACGTATACGCTTAGGCAACTCGATCGACTTAATATCTAGTAACTCGGCTAGCTTAATTACTTACTACTTAGTAAAGTAGAAGTCGCCCTCGAAATTAGCCTTAAGGTATATCTTTAGTAACTACTACTTATCTCTTAGATACTCGCGTAGCGGCTTATATAGCCTATTATTACGAGCCTATCTATACTAGTATTTACGCTTAGTCTCGCCTTCTTAGCGAATAGCTAGATCTAGTAGATTATCGATACTAGAAGCTAATATAGCCGCGGTTATTACTAGTATTCTACTATAAATAGTAATTATATCCTTATTAAGTTTACTATTAGTCGAGAAGCCGTTCGAGTCGTATTCTACTATAGTATACCGTAGTAATAGACATCTAGTCTATAGTACTAATTATAGTAAGGTCTAAGACCCCGGTCGCTTCTTAGCACCCCTATTGCTTACTAAGCAGTCGATCGAGAAACGCTACTAAATTGCCTACGCAAGCTCTTATAAGCCGTTATTTAGAATATTTACTTACCGCCGCTAAAACAGCGCTATTCGCGGCTTCTTATAGCAATTCTTATATATTAGGAAATTTAGCGTACTACTATTTGCAATAGTAGTTTACTTCCGGAGGGCGTTATCTACTAACTTAGTATAGTTTGCCTAGTAATCGACGGTGCTTTTCCTATTATAGTACCGGGTTAACCTTCTTAGTTATACCTCCGATTCTAACCTTATCTCTACAGCTAATTCTCGTATATAGATTAAGCTCTTTCTAATAGTTCAAATAGCACAATTAGTTTACTATTGTTACTATGCCGCCTATATTAACTAAACTAGTGCCGCTATTTAGGCCTAATCGTATACTATATAATACAATCGATATCCGAGAGTAGCTATTTAATATACCGTAGGGGTTAACGTACGAGCCTAAGCGCTTCGAGGTGCTAAAGGCTTATATTAGTAACGTATTAAAGGACGGAAACTAACACTACTACCACTACTTATAGCAATAGTATAGGCTACCGAGGGTAACATAACCTATAGCAATATAGGTAGCTATATTTAGCAAGATAGGATAACGAGACTATCGCTTAGGCTAATAACTAGAGCCCTATAATATAGGCATTGTAGAAGTGTAATATAAACAATATGCTATACAAGGTTAATAATCTGTCTACTCTATAGAAGGAGGCCTTTTATATAGGCTTAAAACTAGCCTATAGGTATAGGGCCGGTTACTAGCTAATATCCCTCCCTTTCTTCGTATCTAACTAGATACGCTTTACATTGCGCGCTTAAAACAAACATATATGCATCCTTAGCGTTCTTAGCTAAGGCTATTTTTAGAACTCCGCAATAATACCCCCGGGGTAGCATTAATCCTAGATACTATAATTATACAAAAACAACTTCCTAAGCAACACTATATAGACCTACTATTGCTTTAACGCGCCGTAATCCTTACTAGTAATAACCTTATCTGCTAGTCGGCTCTCGAAATCTCCTCCGTATACGTTAAAGCTATTAGTACCGAAGTACTATCCCTCGTAGAAAGCTTAATTAACGAGGAGGTTAGTAGCCTTTTCCGTCGCAGTATTCTCTTAATTATACAGATATTCCTTAAGTCCCTCGTTATTAAGCTAGAGGATCTGTTTAACTTCGTTCTAAACAACGTAACTTAACTAAGGAATCCTACTAACTAGAGCGTCGGAGATATAGCCGAGGCCTTCGACTAAGATCGCCGTAGAGAAAGCGAATAGTACGAAGGAGTTAGAGGCCGGGAGGGCGGTTAGATTGCGGTGCGCTTTAGCAACCTAGGAGACTATTAAGTTCTCGTAACCCTTAACCTTAGTACTATTAATAACGCGAGAGTAGCCTAGGTTAATTAATATACGGTTGCTCTTAGTCTTTAGATTACTATATAGTAGGTATAGTATCTAAATAGAGACCTCGCACTCCTTTAGAGGGTTGAGGATCTACTCCGCCTTACGCCCCTTACTATTAGGCTAACTATCGAATATATAGTCGAGGTCGTCGTCGGTAAGGTACTTATTAGTAAGCTTACCGATCTTGCTTAGTAGGACTAGGCTACGAGCCTTAAGCTTCTTAACCTAGTTCGCAAAGACCTCGGGCTAATATATACCTTCGATAATAGTAGAGTAGCTAGTCTTATCCTTAGATATAAGGCAGACCTTAATACGTAGGTAACTAGCACCCTCGCTAGCTACGAGCTTAACTATATCTTGTCCGAGACGAGTAGACTCCTTAGAAGGACAGTTTTTATAAGTACCGCTAACCTTAAAGAACTTAGTAGGCTTAGAGACAGAGATAAGCTCGTATACGTAATTAGGTCGAAGGGCGATAGCTAAGAGCTATAGGGTAGGGTGCTAGCGGACGATTTGGTTGCTTATACTATAAGTTTAAAGGGCATTGCGGCCTTCCTACTTAGACTTAGGCATCGCACGTATATACTAAAGGTACATTTCAAACTCCTCTTATATTAGGGCGATAAGGAAAGAAAGATATACTCTACGAGGCTCTTGCAACTAACTAAAGACTTAAGGGAAGATAGCATTACTAGTCTAGCGAAAGCGGTCGAAGGAGGTACCTTAGCTAAGGATGCCGGTAACGAACTTGCTCTAGCGATCTGTTAGCGTAAGGGCGCAAGTAATAGTACTAGTAGGGTTAAACGCGTAGAATCCTAGAGATATCGGGGCGGCAATAGGGCGTCTAGGAAACTAGTTAGTATAGGCCTAATTAGCCTTAAGGGCAGCGAAGGCATCTTAATTAGCGATATTACGTCTAATCTTTAATAGGCGGCTAATAAGGACACTCGTCTTAGCACTAGCGTAAAGACTATAGACCTTAGCAGCCTTCTTAATATAGTTAGCATATATAGTAAACCGCTCTTTACCTAGCTTACTAAGGTCGTCGAGCTATTAATAGATAGATAGGGCGGTAGGAGCTTTACCTATATCGGCTTTAGGAACTATATCGATGTTAGTAATAAGGTACGCAATAGAGTCGCCCTTGCAAGAACTATAGATATTCTTAGTTAATAGGATCGGCGAGAGGCCTCTATCTCTACGCTCGCTAAAGGAGCCTTCGGAGGAGACATCTTCTAGTAGTATATCTAGTATATTAATATCCGAGTTACTATAGTTAGTACTATAGTTAGTACTATAGTCGGTACTAGAAGGAGTACTGTACTTCTTAGTAGCCTTACGGAGGGCCTAGCGAGCATACAATGCCTTCTTGCGCGCTACTTCGGCCTTAGCGCGCTCGTCTTAAACTTCTTAAGGGACCTTACGGTTACGGGTCGAGCGACGATCTTTAGCTTGTATTTCTATAGCGAGCGTAAGACTAGTAGCCGTATCGGCCTCGGTTTCTAGGCGAAGAGCCTTACGTTTAAGGACATTAACGATAGGAGCCTCTTAACTTTTAATAATAAAGCCTACACTATTAATGCGATAGCCCTTCTCTTTTAGTAGATCCTTAGTTGTCTATACGTTAAGATCGACCTAGACAATCGCATCGTAGTACTTCTTCTAGTAGGCTGTCGTAAAGTCGTTAAGCGTAAAGGACAAGTTAAGTAACTGCTTACCTACCTTCTTACTAGCGGTAGATACACGATAGATTATAGTATAAGAAAGATACTCGGCGCCTTAACGACGGACCTTGTACTTATTAACGAACGAAGAGACCTGCTTAGTACGCTCTTATCTACCGTAGGCGAAGTTAATAAGGCTCTTAGGAAGACTACTTAGTCCTCCCTAATGTTCGAAGGCCTAGTCGAGGGTCTTAAAGCGTAAACGAATCTAGGTGCCGGCCGTCTCGAGGCTATAGACGATAGGAAAGGCTTATTCGATGTCTATATCGTTAAGAACCTCGCGCTTAAAGATACGCTTACCGATAGACTAACGCAAGTTGTTTATACTATACGTAACTAAGATAGTAGCCTTCTTAATATTCCTATTAATAACGCGTAGTAGGGTGCGAGCGTTCTAGATCTTCTCTTAAGGGTCTTTAAGGGCGGTAACGATCTAGAAGCAGTGCTCGAGGCTAGTTGTAGTAGCTAAGGCGCTGTCGGATAGGGCTTCGATCGGGACTAGTACGCCTAGGTTTAGGGCTAGTAGGTTGCTGCTACTACTAGCACCTAGCGGATTTAGGGCGCCGGTAGACATCTTAGTTAACCGGAGCGGAAAGGAGTTAGTAACGAGCTTACAAAAACGTTCGTAGCTTGTTAATAATAATTAAAGGGTTTAGATAGAAGAGAGGGGGTAGGCGGTAGTAAGTTAGTTAGTATTCGAGTAGAAGAAAGAGCTTAGAAGGCTCGCCTTAAATAGGGTACGAAGGTAGCGTAGTCCGTATGTTCCGGTAAAGCAAACGGATAACGATTATATATAGACCCTAAAAAGTAAAGCTATATACGAGACTCTTTTATTAGTAGGGCAGCTAAAGTTTAACAATCGATCTAGCTAATTGCTAGTAGCGACTACGCGCCTTTATTAACCTCTAGCTTTCGTAGATTCCCGCGTACTCGAAATGTAACTAGTCAGTTCGAGTACCTAGTAGTAATCTATAGTAGTAAGGCTAGCGGGACTAATAACACCCCCGGGGTAGTATTAGCTTTTCTCTAGAGATGCTCGGCAACTAGGAGCAAATCGCCTAGGCCTAGCGTAGCTTATATTAGCCTATAGCACTGTCGTTATAGATATAGCATTACCTTTTATAGTAGTAGGTATATAAACGTAGCCCGTGCGTTCTTCTTTCTTCTAGATACTAAGCTTAGCGGCCTAAGGTCCCTATCCTTAGAGGCTATAGGCCTAGGTTGCTACGTCTATCTAAGAGCTAGGAAGGGAGAGGGATCCTCCCTTTCTTAGTATCCTACGTAACTAATACTAATTAGGGCAGGAACAATCTTCTCTAGCGGAGTATCTTATTATCGTTACTACCTAAGGGCGGTTACTAGAGACTAGGAAACTAGAGGGAAGTAGTCCTAGAAGGGCGGGAGGTTAGGTTCGGCTAGCTTCCGAATGCTACCCCCGGGGTATTATTCGGAAGTTATACCTCGTATAGTTCTTTTCTAAAGAAATATAAAAAGAGTGAAGCTATAGCAATATTAATCGAAGGTAAAAGACAAAAGAGCAAAACAATAGACAAGGTAAAAGCAAAGGAGGGCAACAACTAAGAGTATTAATATCTATAGGAACTAGGAACAGGCAGTAAGGACTAAAGCTAAAGAGCAGCGCTCTATATTAACAGCGCGGAGAATAGTTAATAGAGGCAAGGAAAGCAACGTAGTAGAGGTAGGAAAGGATATACGATTATTTAGTCTCGGGGTCGTCTAGCTATAATTCTAGGCGGTCTTTATCGCTAGACTAGTTAGGTTCCTCAGAGTTAGAGTTAGATAGCTAGAAGTCTAGTTTACTATTAGAATCGGAATTAATATCGGAAACGCTCTATATATAGTTAATCCGTATATAACCCTCCCTTTGTTCTTAAGTTATTCCTAATAGCTTACTAAGACGAATCTAGGGATAGGCATAGTTCGCAGGTAGAATAGGATCTATAATAGCGGTAGGATCCTCCTCCCGATAGGCATCTAAGGACGGTAGAGGGTCTATAGAGGCACTAACTTCTTCTTCGGTCGGCGGAGGGCAGGTAGGTTCGCGTAACTTAACGATCTTCTTTAGATTAGCCCGAAGGTAAGAGTGCTTTAAGGTAGCACTATCTAGCTCCTAAAGAAGGTATACGGAACCCGAGTAAAGGACCTCCTTTACTCTATAAGGACCCTTTTACTTAAAGGCTAGCTTATAGGAGTAACTGTACTCTAGTTCGGACCGGTATAGAAGGACTATATCGCTAACCTTTAGAGGTTCCTAATTAATAGCATTATAGTTATTAAAATACTACTTAGCCTCTTCCCGAAGCCGACGTTGTCGAGCAAGACCCTCTTAAGAAGTCGTAGTTATATCCTTAAGAGCCTTAGCCCGTAGGGCAAGAAGGTCTACCCTAGTACAAATAGACCCCTAATCGTAAACGCCGTACGTACGATAGGACAATTTAATAGGTAGAACGGCGTCCCTCCTAATTATAAGTTCTACTAGTGTAAGTCTAGTTATATCGATAATAGTAGTTCGGTCCGCCTAGAGAAGGGCTAGGACGCGGATAGAAATAGGAACTAATCTATCGCTACTATTAGTTATCTTAGATAGGGCATCAATTAACGACCGATAGCCGCGCTTAATAATAGCATTCGACTACGGATAGTATAGGGAGATACGAACGTTCTTAGCCCCGTACGAAACAAGTAGCGCTTAAACCTCCTTAGCTATATTGTTCGTAGCGTTGTCTAAGATAACCTCGTAAGGTATTCCCTAGCGGTAAAACAGATCCTTAAATAGGAAGGTAGCTATATTACGGGCATTAATAGCACCGCAACCCTTATAGAAATAATAGGCCTCCGGCTATCGAGAAAGACCCTCTCGAATAATATATAGGCTATTATTGCGGCTAAGATAGACCCTATCGCTATACTACCGCTCCCTAACTAACTAGGTAGTAGGGATACGCAGCTCTCCCGGACGCCGGTAGCTATTCCTAAAGTTGCACTTAGGACAGCTCTTATAGTAGCGGGAGACATTAGCCTATACGCCGTCCTACTAGTAGCGTCGACGAAGGATATCGAAGGTGCCCTCCGCCGCCCGGTAGCCGAGCTTATCGTAAACAGAGCGAAGGATTTCTTATCGGGCTACTAGATCGTTAATAACACGCTAGAGCGGTGCATTAATTATAGCCTATCGCTAAAGGATACAATCTTTAACAAGGAACCTCCGAGAATAGCGAATAATACGACGGTATTAACTCCTTAATAGACTAGGAGCTTTCTTCGTATAGGTAAGGAAGTAGGCGATATTATAGGAGTCGTCGGAGTAGACCCTATTAAGGATATTATCCCTGCCTAGTTCGCCCGCCTTAGCGTCGTCCTAGTCCTCGCCGTTAGTAGTAGGGTCTTCGTTAGGCTAGTTACTAGGTTAGTCGTCGGTAGTAGACCTAGTAATTACCGGCATAGCGTTAATATAGAAGGCAGTAAAGAAGGTACGGTTAATAACCGCGTCGACATCCTCTTCTTCTATTATCTCGGCGATGTCTTCTTCTATAGTAGGCCTTCTAGAAAGGCTATCCGGTCTAGTATGCTTCTTGCTAGGAATATAGAAGACGTCGAAATCAAACAAATAAATCTAGGCAACCTACCGAGCTATCGTAGAGTTAGGCAGGTCGGAGGCTATACGGTTAAGTTAATAGACTAGCGTCTAAGCGTCGACTTCTAGGCGAAAGAACACTCTAAAGAGCTAAGGTCGGAACTTCTTAAGAGCCTTATAGACACTAAGGCACTCTCGCTTGCTAGTATCGTATCGGGCCTCGATAGGTTTCTATAGACCGGACTTATACCGGATAGGGTAACGTAAGGAGGTCTCCTTACGATTATACTGCATTAGTATCTCGCCGTAGCCTTCCCCGCTCGAGTCGATAGTAATAATTAGTAGACCTACGCCTTCCGAGTAGTTAATAGAGGTAAGCGTAGGCGCGCTAATAAGTACCTTAGTAACCTTGTCCTTAGCGGCTTAGTAAACGGAGGTCTATTTAAACTCTGCATCCTTCTTAAGTAAGGCGTATAGAGGCTTGCATACTAACGCAAAGTTTTCGACCTAGATACGGAAGTAGGAGACTACTCTAAGCTAGATCCGGACATCTTTCTAACAGGTAGGGTCGGGCTAGGACATAATCTTTAGGACCCGTATATTATTAGGATAGCGGCCGTTCTTATTAGTTACAAACCCGACAATGTTTATTCGTTTGTATAGGAGCTAGAGCTTCTCCCTATACACCGTTAGGTTAGCTCGCTCTAGGTCGTAGAGGATACTATCGAGGTTTTAAATATATTCGAGAAAGAACCTGCGGATACTAGGCTCTACTTCTTTATTATCGTACCTAGTTTTAGGGCCCTTAATGCCGATGTCGTTAAGGAAAGGCATCGCTATATAGGAGATATAGGCCGCGAGGACTTAGTTTATAATGCGAACGAACTAGGCTACGGAGTTAGTTGCCCCTTATAGAAGGGTGGTTTGTCTATATAGCCTAAGAGGTGTCTCGAAACTAGTAAGGTCGCGGCTATTAGGATAGAGAGGTATCTAGTCGTAGCCCGAGAAAACATTAACTAGTAAGGCTATAATACAGTTAGCAAAAGCTTCCGAGAACCTATTAGTCTCCGGAGGGAGGTTAGTATCTCTAATCGTAACTGCGTTAAACTTTTGTATAGCGTTAATTAGACGGTACTTCTTTAGTTCCCTAGGAGCTATCTTCTTCTAAACTAGGAAGTATAGGTTGCGATACGAGGCATAGGAAGGCTCTAAGGTACTAGCCTTTATACGCTACTATATTATATCCTTAACTATACCTCTTAGGCTTAGGTTTAGCTTAAACCCTAGGTAAGCCTAAGGCTTATACTCGATCGTTCGGATCCTCTATAGAGGGGCAACCTCCGGGTTAATCCTGCCTAGATACGTAAAGTTATATACTAATACGGCTTCGCGGTTATATAGAAGCTCGTATAGCAAATCTAGTTTAAGATTAGAAAGCTCGATACTAGGTTTAATGTTCGCTAGTCTCTCCGGCGTTAGCCTCGATCCCCTAAGAATAGCGGAGAACTTTTTAGTAATGTACCTCTAGTCGTATAGACTATCCCTAGGTATTAATATCGCTTCGCGGTTAAGGCACTTTTGTCGCTAGTTAGGATTTCCGCTAGGATTAGACCTATCGGTTATATATACGCTACCCTTTACGGGCTTAATCTTGTTAGCTACCCTCTTATATAGGGTATATATACTAACCGCTCGTAATACCCGAGCCCTCTCTCTTTAACGTTAGGCCCGGAGATTAGCGTAATAGAACAGCGCGTAAACTTTATTAGAAGTCTCCTTAAGTCGGTAGGTATATAGCTAGTAATCCTAATTTATAATTCCGGCGAAAACGTTAGATTCCTAATAATACCCCTAGGGTAGCATTAGCTCGGCGCTCTAATTAGTTAGTTCGGATTCGGGCTCGGGTAGATCCGCTTCCGGCGGCGATGCCTACGACAGTATTATTACCGAGATTCGTGTACTAGGTAGTCGTTATACTATTATACTCGCTATCGCTTCGAGTATTCGTCTCCTTAGTATAGAGCCTAGAAACTAGCCTTATCGTATAGAGCGGCGCACCTCTAGATATAACCTATTTAAGCTATATTAACTTATAGCGCAGATTGCCGGTCTTATAACCGCACTATAGCGTTTCCCGAAGAGCGCTTAGAAGTAGCAAGGATATCCTCGTAGGACTTGTAGCTAGTGTTCCCGATATAACTAGTAAATACGACTCGGTTACCCTTCTAGTTAGCGATAGTTCCTTCCTAGGAGCTATCGTCGCAGTTGCGCTAGACATTCCGGGTTATATAAGACTATAGACGACCTAGAATAATTAGCGTGTTCGGGTTAGCGGCAATCTAGAAGGTGAAGGAAAAGTATATACCGAAAGCGTCTACTATAACATTATAGTAGGCACCTACTAGCGCAACCTCCCTATTTACTCCCTATATACTAAGGGAAATATCTCTGTTTATTAGTAGTCGGAGCTGTTTAGCCTAGCGCTTACTTATAATAAGTAACTCTAAACTATTATTAAGTATTGCTAGCAACTGCTAACTATAGCTTCCGATAGTAACTTAAATATAGATAGCGGGAACGATAGTAAAGGAACGGGTAACTGCGGAAAGGTCTATATTATTAGGGATAGAGTAGAGTTCCTTAGGTCGAGGAGGTCCTACTTAACCGATTTGTTAGCTAGTAAATCGGACAGCCTTAATAGAAACTAAAACCGAAGCAGGGTCGGCATTATTATTATCCCCTCGGCCTATCTCCTTAATCCCCTCTTCGTTAGTATTATCGATAGTCTCCTAGCTCTCGTAGGTTACTAATTCGCCTTCTACTAACTCCTAGGCCCCTAAAAATTTAGGAAGGAACTATAGAGAAGAGACGTCGATATAGTCCTCTCGCCCCTATTTACGTCGGAGGGCTACAAGGTCTTTTATAAAGGTTGTATCGTTAGGAATCCGGCTCTAGAATAGGTT